GTGACCTGCTCTGTGTCATTCTGCCACTAGGATGCTTCTGTGCCAACCTGATTAGCTGGGTTTTTTAGTCCTCTTTAATTTAAAGTATACAAAAGAAAGGAACTTCTCTGAATGACAAACTGAAAAGCTCACTCCACATCCCACTAACAATGCTGCCTCTTTCCCAGTCAGTCTTGTGTTTTCTGGGAATTCTGCTCACCCTGCAGCTGGTTGCAAGAAGTTCAGAGGAATTTGTATGATATGTTTACTTCCTGTTTATCTACCATTTCCCATGTTAATGCTCAAAGGCAAAGGCTTGGTCTGTCCCTGTGTAATGGATTTGTGTGGCCACGTTTTGGTAGGGTGGTGTGGGTGGGGCTACAGGGGTGACTTTTGTGAGAAGCTTCTTCCCCCATGTCCAGTAGAACTAATGGCTCCAGGACAGACCCCAGACTACTGGCCAAGGCTAAGCCAATCAGCAATGATAGCAATGCCTCTGTGACAACATATTTAAGAAGGAAAAAAAAAATATTGTGCAGATGTAATTGCAGCCAGAGAGGAGCAAAGTAAGAATATGTGAGAGGAACACCAGGGTCAGTGTAGAAGGAAGAGGAGGAGGTGCTCCAGGTGCTGGAGCTGGGATTCCCCTGTGGGTAAGACCATGGTGAGGCAGCTGTCCCTCTGTAGTCCCTGGAGGACCATGGGGATGCAGAGTTCCACCTGCATGGGAGACCCATGCTGGGTCAGGCTCCTGACAGAGACTTGCAGACCCATGGAGAGGAGCCCACAGTGGAGGAGGTTTGCTGGTAAGACCTATGCCTGAAGGATTGCACTCCATGGAAGAGTGACTTGCACTGGAGCAACTCGTGGATGGACTCATGTTGGAGAAGTTCATGGAAGACTGTCTCCCATGAGAGAGACTCCAAGCTGTTGAGAAAATGGGAATATTTTTTATTCAAATAATGAATTCTGGTGCCTGACTCAGTTTCATAAAATCACAGACTATCCTGAGCAGGAAGTGATGCACAAGGATCATAAAGTCCAGTTCCTGGCCCTGCACATGACAACCCCAAGAATCACACCATGTGCCTGAGAGCATAGTCCAAATGCTTCTTAAACTCTGTCAGGTTTGGTGCTGTGACCACTCCCCTGGGGAACCTGTTCCAGTGCACAATCACTCTGTGGGTGAAGAACTGTTTCCTAATATACAACCAAAATCTCTCCTGACTCAACTTCATGCCATTTCCTTCTGTCCAGTCAATGGTCACCAAAGAGAAGAGATCAGTACCTGCCCCCAGTTCTCCTCAGGAGGAAGCTGTAGATCACAATGAGGTCTTCCCTCAGTCTTCTCTTCTCCAGGCTGAACAGACCAAGTGATCTCAGCTGCTTCTCACACGGCTTCACCTCTAGACACTTCACCATCTTTGTGACCCTCCTTTGGATAATAGCTTTATATCTTATATTAAGGCTTCCAAAACTGCACACAACACTTAATGATTAATTTAGATCTTTGTGCTTTTAAAGCAAAATGGAGAGAGGTAAGAATCTGTGGCAGTAGTTAGCAAGAGAGAGTTTTGGTGCTGGCAAAGGGCATTGCTATGGATACCCACCATGGGCTTGAGCAGGCTGCAGACCCTCTGTGACTGTAGCGCCCAGGGCTGTTGCAGGCTGATTCACCTTTTGTATTCATCTGGGGCTGCTCTTCTGCCTGCTGGTGTGTGCTATTCCCAGGTGCCGGGTGGATTCTTCCTCCATCACTGCATTCAGGGGGCTGTCAGACCACAGGGGTGCTGGGAGAGTCCCCTCATGAGGAATTTACTGCTCATAATTTTACCTCCTCTGTGCTTGACTGAAACTCTTTCCACTCTGATTATGGTGAATTCAGGAGCCTGCAAACAGCATCAGTAATAATTGACTCCAGTGTGATTGTGCTCATCCCTAAGCGCTCGTGAGATGCTGCATGCTGCTGAGTGCTGAGCTCATTGCTCCTTTCACACTGCACCTCCAGTGCTCTGGCACCCCTCAGTCAGTCTCCCCTGCACTCAGAAAGCCCTCTGGAAAGGGTGGTACATCCCTCAGAGGTTCTCCATTTTAAGCTGATTTATTGAGCTAGACAGGAGGAACAGCTCACAAGGCTCATCAAAATGCAGCGAGTCACTCACAATGTCTGCCTATGAACGGTGGACCTTCCCCCATCAAAACCCCACCAGGGATGTAGTGTCAGTCCCGGAGGGGACCCTGACAGTGACGTGCTAGAGTACTCCTCAGCCCAGTCAAGTTGCACAGACCTGGGCATCACATGGGCTGTTGGCATGATGCTGAACTCACAGGATGCCAGTTCCCACCTATGACATAGAAAGGTGGGTCCCATTTCTGGGTGGGATGCTGCAGAAGCTTCTCCATCTGGGTAGAAGGATGGCTGGCTGTGTTGAGGGAGGATCCTGTCTGATGTCAAATCCATCTGGCTGACCTTGTGCCTGGCCTGGCCCAGACCAAGGCTCCTAGTCAGAGCACTGAGTGACACCCCTCCAAAAAGCCCAGCCCTGAGGAGTGCTACAGGTGGGATGAACCTGGAAAATTGCTCCTCTTCCATGGTAACCTTGGAAAAATTGTGTAATGACTGTAGGAGTAAGTGGGAATCAATCTAAGACATGAAAAAAAATTAAAAAAATAGAAAAAGGTTCTTGTGTATCTATACTAAAAAGACTTTAATACCCTCAGAATCCCTATGAGATGTTCATTCTCTCATATCTAACAGATAAATAATGTCAATCTCTGCATCTTCCATAGCTCTGAAGAAAAAGAGATTTGCAACCCAGTACACCAAGGCTTCCAAAATATCTGTAAATCCTATTCAAGATCAAATAATTGAAATGGTTTTCAGCCATTTCCTTCAAGTATGGGTTCAAGATTTTCCTTGTTTGTTGTTTTCTTTAGTAACCTAAACCAGAGATAGGAATCCAAATGGTTGCTCTCAATGCTGCATTAAGAACACAGACCAGGATTTGCCTCGGAGAAGTGTGATTTGGGCTGTGACAGTTACCCCACTGTGGCTGTGTGATACCCCAAGAAGATGAAACTTGGGGAGGGCCAGGACCACCTGTCCTGCCACAAACATGCATCTCCCAGCAGGAAAACCTGCATGGACTCTGCTGCCTGTGCAGCAGGTGTTGCAGGCTCAGGCTGCACTCTAAGGAGACGCCTAAAACAAGGTGATGCGGCAAGAGCATAAATCACTGTCAAGAAGAAACAGCTTCTGTAAAACATGTCAGACTTTACCAGACTTCATGTGAAAGCCCTCTGCTTCATGCTGCAGCAGTTGATCTTTCTGAAATCCTAAACAAGGGCAGGAGACAGCACTCAGATATGCTCTTCAGCCTGTGCTCTCTGTATACATGAGCAATGTCCCTTTGCTTGCCCTTGGGGGTGTTGGGGATACAAGTGGAACAGCAGCCTCAGGACTGCACCTGTGATGCTCTCCCAGCTGGGAACCAATGTGACTGATGGATCTTTTGGGCAGCCAGAGACTAGGCTGAAGGATCCCCCTACCCCAGGGATTCCTCTTCCTCTGCTTTGCCACAACTCCTTGGTGGGGGACCAAACCACCAGCTTTTGTTCTCTGGCACTGATGGTTGAGGTTAGTGCTGAGGACATGCCACAGCTTCGATCTGAAATTTCCATGACTTGAGCAGACCATTTGTGCAGGTAGTGACCTAGATGTTCCTTGATAAGAAGGGACAGTGTGACCGGGGGCATGATGTGAGTGAGCACTGTGTATAGAAACATTCCAAACGAATAGAGTGAGAACTCCTCTGGCTGCCTCTCCATGGATGGATTGTTCTCTCGTGGATTTTGAGTTAAGTTTCAAAAAGATTGATATGCAGATACTCAGCCAGGGTGCTATTCCTGTGCCATGCCCTGCAACTCCAGGCTTCAGGGGTGATATCAGTGCTAATTTTTTAGCAGACAGGATGAACAGACTTTCAGGTGATGACTGCGTAGAAGCCAGGGGACAGAGGGCTTACAGGCCCCTGTGCCTGCATCCTGAGTCCTGCCTGCCAGCCAGGAAGATGAAATGGCCATGACTTGTGCATGTGAAGCTATATGAAGTCCTACCAAATGCAGACTGAAAATAGCCAGGACAAAGGCACTATGTAGGAAGGAAATTGCTGACAGGAATTAGCAACTGATTAATTATTGATATGTTGTTCATCCATGTTTCATCTTCACCTCCTATACTCTCTCTGCAGACATTGTTTCTGTATAGCTGCTGCTGTTGCATTATGCTCCTTGAGTAGATTATGATTTTTCAAAAATTCATAAGATGTCTTGAGGACTTCTTATGTGTCCCTCAGTGTGGGGGAGCTCTCTGTTAGTCTGTGAAACAGCTATGAGACTTTTTCCCTCTCTTAAAAATTCAGCCTCTGTTTCCTCCTAAACAAGCAAAAGACCTGGTGTTCTCGCTTCCCATGGGAGTTAGCATTTTGTAGCACTGTATAAGTACTATAAAGCCAAGATAAAATACAATTCACAATGATTAGTAACAAACCATTATTTTTCTCTCTTAACAGTACAGAATCTGTCAAACTGGTCTGCACAAGTCTTAAATCCTAAATGGACAATAGAGAAATTTAGTAGTTTAAGTCTGTCTGACTTGAATAGCAAGCAGAAAATCAGAATTAAGACCCCTGTGAGCTTCTCCTTTCCTCTCCAATGGTCTCTGTTGGTCATTGCTTGGCATGGCTTTAGGGAAAAGGAGGTTCTAATTAGCCCTTGCACAATGAAGCTGGACTGATCATTCAGAGTTGCATTATTATTTGATTTGGTTTTCTTCAGCTGGACACAAATATTAACCTTACAATAGGAGAAGACCAGGCAGAGATAAAGAGTTAAAAATGGATGAAGCTTTTGTGAATTCAGACTATCTGAAGAGCTTCGGGCATAGAGGCTTTGAAATGACAAAAGAGCACCTTGAAAGGAAGCCCTGTTGCTAAGCAACACGAATTATTGTGTATAGAGCTCCAGGAGAGAAACCTCTGTGCTGCTTTAAAGTAAGAAGTGCTGGTGAGGAGCCGTAGATACATCCACAGTGTGTTTAAAGTGTCCCAGCCTCGTCCTGGCTGAGAGGGGGTTTCCATGACCCTTTGGTACAGGGTGGTCACTGGTAAGACTGAATAGGCAGGTGAGTGCCACCCCTCCTCCTCCACCTGCTGAAATGCAGAAGTAGGCTGTGCCTCTGGTCAGAATGGGTGAGAATAATTGGAGAACCCCAAAACTGCCATGATAAGGAAAAAAAAAATACAGGTCGTGTTCAGCCAGATGCCTTAGGAATGTGAAATGATATCTCAGCAGAGTTTTGATTCCTTCGATTCACTTCTCAAGTTTCCCTCCTTTTTCTCCCCCATTCGTATTAATAAATTCTCATCTTTCACGCTCATGGTCTTTGCCTGATGAGCATCCATGCAGCTTCCAAGTAACTGCTGGTTATGACATGGAATGTAATGAGGTAAAATGCACACTGTTCCAGTCAGGAATATGTCAGTGCTCTAAATATATTTTCTCACAGCATAACATTTGTTCCTTTGTCTTCAACATGCTTCAGAGATGGGGCTCTGAAGTTCCTTTGCTCACAGTAATCTTGTCTTTCTTGCCAAGCATGAATCCTTGACTGATTTGATTAACTAATGGGAAAACCAACCAACCTCTCTGCTAAAATTCTGAGTTCTTTATGTGGCTGCTGGGAGTTGAGACTGAGTTTGGGTGCTGCTAATGAGCTGTTTCTATCAGATGGTTTTGAAATGGTAAATTCTTATAACTCAGCCAGACTAGAGATGTGGATCTGAAAAGAGTGGTCCCATGCATGCAGAAGAGCTATTTCACAATGGTCCTCACTGGGGCCATGCCCCCTCTGCCAACTGGACTCAACAGAGACTAGTGACCTGGGGCTGCCAGTTCTTTCTTCCATCAGATACTTTCTCCAGAAATCTTGCCTGTTCTAATGTCTTCTTTCTTGTGGGTTTTAAAAAATATATACATCAAATACCTAGTCTCTGTTTCCAATTCTATGTGCAAGGAGAATTTGCAAAATATTTAGACTTGCTGAGTTTGTCAGATTCAGTTCTGAGACAGGCTGGTTTACTTCTTAGCCCCTTGAAAGATTGCTGGGCAAATGTTCTACAGTATTTCCAGAAATCATCTGTAGGTTGGTCATTAGTCTTTCCAAAGTATTTCGCTTGGCAACTCAGTCTTTGGCAAGGTTTCATTGCCATAAAAGAAAAGAAAGCACATCAGAGCTTCACACTGTAGCTTGTGTTGGTGTTAGTTCTTTGCATATTGCCATCCCTCAAAAATATCAATTGCCTTCAAAGGAAAGCCAGAAGCAAGCCATAGTCTACCCTTTTTTTTTGCAGTGAAATTCTCTCTGTACTCTCTTGGTGTGGCTGGAAGCAGCTGAACCATCACCACCATGTGAGAGGTATCTCTAATTCAACTTTCGAAGATAGCCGAATAAAGCGAAACAAAGAAGTTTGATTTCAGCACACTGGGTGTACCGGCTTCGTGACCAAGTCCGAGCACACCCAAAATGGGAGGGATGAGTCCTTTTAAGGTTTCTTGATTTACGTAACCACTCCCTCTCTCCTCCCATGGTGAGCCTGGGCCTTGTGGGGTCTTCAAGGGACTGCAAGGGAACGCTTGCCTGACCATGGTCTTCACCACAGTTACAGGGGATAATGGCTTTTGAGTCCACCCCTGTTTCTTGTGGGGTCCCTCCTGATGAGAGACAGTCCTCTGGTGTGAGTCCACCTTCAGGCAACAGTTCTTCCATTCTCTACTGTCCCTTAGGGTCACAAAGTCAGCTGCACCAGCATGGATCCCTCACTGGGATCACAAGTCTTACCTGAGATGACTTGCTCCAGCATAGGTCTCTCTCTCTCCATGGGCCACAGGTCTCCAGCAGGAATCTGTTCCATCTTAGGTATTTCCAGAGTCACAGCCTTCTCGTGCACTCACATGCATTCAGCTGCTTCAGCACAGACTCCTTCATGAGCTACAGGGGTCTCCTCATTCAGTAATCTTCCACAGACGGCAGGGTTTTTTAGTTTTCAGTCTTTTCTCTGATGAAGGGAGAGAGGGGGGAGAGAAGGAGCCCCCTTCCCCCCTCTCCCCCCCCCCACCTTGGGCCTCTCTTCTCTCTCCTCCAGCTGCCAGCTTTGACCTTGGAGGCTGCACTATCTCTCTGCCTGGAATTCCTTCTGCAACACATCTCGTCCAAGCAGGTTTTCTCTAGAGTTTTTTCTCTACTCTGTTGCAGGATAGAAGGGGCCTGGCCCCCCTTGGTCGGGCCAGACTCGGCCCAGGGTGGGGAGCACATGCCTGGACCCAACAGGGCCGGCTGCTACGCTGGCTCTCCCAATTTTTCTTCTACCTCATGGCTCTCATCTCTTCTGTCCCAAGAGCTTCTCTTCCATTTTCTTAAATATGTAATTGGCAGAGGCATTACTAAAACTTTTGGTTGGCTTTGCTCTGGAAATCCACCTGGAAAAACTATTTTCAGCATCGGGGGGCTGGTCAGCAAACCCATGTCACAGCTGCTAGTCAGAGCTATCACCTCCAGCATATGGAGGTGAAAACCATGTGTAAAGAAGTGTTCCCAGCAGGTGTGTGCATTGTAGTTTGTTACGCTCCTGTGCTGATCCAAGCTGCGCTGCTTGGGGCAGACACATGACTCTCTTGGTCTGCAAAGCACCATGGGATGTATATTTTCCTTAGGTCATAGAAGAGTGGCTCTTAGAGAAACACAAGACGTTGGGCACTGGCATTCCATTTTAATGAAAAAAGAGGTATTTCTTGATGCTGTGTTGGTGTGATAGAAACAGCAGTGTCTTTCAGTGTGCTGCTGTTTGTGAGTGGTAAGCCTGCCCTGGGCAGGGGTTGCCTGGTCTGATTAAATGAAACAATGTGGGCAATACTACTGTATAAATTATCTTTTTTACACATGAATGGAAAAAATAACTCTTCAGAGAAGGATGGTGGGGTGAACAATAAAAGAAAGTAAAATTCTTGTGATCCTGATGAGATTTCCAAAATTTGACTCCTGTATTATCCTTTTATTTAGTTTTACTTCTTGTTTTTTCTGTCTTTCTAAGACAAAAGCAACCTAAGAAGCAACAACAGCAATCTGTGGCTTCCTATTGGACCCACTCTTGCAGGAGTCATACCCAGCATTGTGGAGTGAGCAGGATCTTGGAGGGGTTCTTAGAGAGAAGCGGACAGAGGGAAGGACAAAGAGCTGGTGTTTGTAACACATTTAGTGTGTTCCTGCTGCCATTTACTTCCAAGAGCCTTCCTTCAACCATGACTGTGCCTAGATTTTCAGTTAACAGCATTTTCCATGGCCTTTCTTGTCAAGATCCTGTTTCTAAACTGCTGTCAGTTTGGAACTCATTGTGGCAAGCTGTATGGGATCCCTGGAGTGCACTCTGCTGTGCTTTTCTGCTGTTACAGCTCCCACTCAAATGTGCTGAGTGGGCACTGTTTGCTAAGGCATTCTGGGATACCCTGAGCATGGCAGGGCAGTGCAGCGTTCTCTTCAGGGTAATCCATCTTCTTAGCATTATTTAAATGTTTGTGCACCTTGCAGATGAGTGTTGTTTCTTCTGAGAAGGTTGTTGCATCTACTGTCAGTGATGTACGCTGGTGACCTGTTGATGTCTTGTGTAGTTTATGGGATGTTTGTCAGACCTCTTAAGCCTGAAAGATTTTTTTTATTGCTTCGATGGTTCTGAGTGGTGGTAACAGTGCAAAACCAAAAGGACACATACTTCATGCTGAAATTCATTTCTTGTTCACCAGAACATGGATTAAACAGAATTAAACAGACTTTAAACAGAAAGTTTTAAATAAACTTTGCTATCATAGGGTAAAACTAAGAGTCTAGAAAAATAGGAGAATAAATCTGACCATATATTAGGAAAGAGAGAGTAATTATTATTTTAAAATGTAACCTCATGAATTTCTTATCCAAACTGGAAAGTCTTTAAAGACAGAAATGTGTTTGAGCTCTGCAGTACAGCTGTTGCTCCCTGATTTACAAGTACATGCACAAGGGTACAGACAAAGGGAAACTAGATGACAGAGACAAGAAAAAAGTGCTGAGTGAGGTGCAGATGTAGCTGTAAATTAATCAGTGAAGGCAGGGAGTGATGGTGGGAGATGGAGGTCCCTCTGAGACATGGTCTGTAGTGGAGCTCTGTGTGACAGAACTTGAAGCCACCACACAGCCCTAAACTTTGCCTGAGCTCCGAACATGGCCATACAGGAACTGTGTAAATACTACAGGTATATGCAAAAAACTGATTAAAGGTACTAGTTATGCTGGCTTTGCATATAGATATTTTACAGCTTTTTTCAAACCTGCAGCTTGAGCTGAACCTCTGGGAGAGATGAGACAAGCAAAACCCCTGTGGATGGGAACCAAAGCCACTGCTGGCACATGTATTCAGGGAGCAAGTTGCCAGTATTTTCCTACAGCTTTTCTCGCAGATGGTAGTCATTTGCCCCCACTGCTGCTGCTGATTTCCACGAGATGGAGCTATTCTAACATGGTTTTGGTAGCAGTCCCCAGGAAATAAGTAACTCTACTGTGTATTTTATTTTATTTCCATGACAACATTTCTGAAGTGGGCAGGCTTTTATGAAAAATCATCATTCAAAAAAAGCAAACCCCAACAGCAACAGCTGGAGCACAATGCATAATTTAATAGACTCTGACTCCCAGAGGATGCAGGTGAGCACAGAGCAGTTTTGCCCTACACTGGGGCAGCTGGTGGAGCGTGCACCCAGCCTTAACCCTCTGGAGAGCTTATTTGCCATGGCTAAGGAAATCTCCAATGCTCCGTTGTCCCAAGCTCATGCAGGGTGGCCCTTTGACACCTACCGGCCCTTGCCCTTGGCCCTAGTCTGCAAACTTCAGTCCTCTGAAGCAGCAGACTGCCTTTGATGAGTTGTGATGACCCCCTCCTGTGTCATTTCTATCCTTTCTCATCTATTTTTTTTAAAATCTAATTGTGTCTGTTTCCATGCACTGCCATCTCCCACTGCAGCACCTGCTTATTCCTGCTCCACTTTGGCCCCAAACTCAGCCGTTTCCCATTGAGTCACAATGTAGGCAAAAAATCAAGTAAATGCTGTTGTTCTATAATATATGTCTGCAAACTTCATGGCCTTCCTGACTTTTTATCAAGTCATGACCACAGAGCCAAACTCCTCCTGCCCTTGTAGGGGGATGCTTTTGCACTCCAGCCCCCATAAATAGCAGCAGCTCAGGGAGAGGCATTTATCTGGGGATTTTCTACAGGAGTTGTCAAAATTAGGGCTGGTTTTATATGCAGAATTTGTAATGCTTGAAACGAGGGTATCATGAACACCCCTTGCTCTCTGCTTGTGTTGCAAGCTGTCTAGGGCTGTGCCACAATTGCCAGGAGAAGCTGGTGTTCTCTGTTTGCACGCAGGAGATAAGTGGTATCTCTGTGGCGAGGTGTTACTGGCAATGCATGCCTGCCCTGAGTCCATCGCCGCACACGGAGCCTATTGGCAAAGGCTTCCCCCCAAAGCAAGTTCCCAGTGCTGGAGCCCAGCTGCTCCCCATGCCTGCCAGGGCAGAGAGCCGGCTGCTGCTTCTCAGCCACATGGCGTCTGAAATCCCCACTGCTGCGGGACCTAGCTAAGTGGAAACCACAGTAAGATAAATACGAATCAGCTACGTAAGTAGGGGGCTGCCGCTGCCAGATCTAGTAACGCTGCACCTGTCCAAATTCCCATGTGAAAACTTAGTTCACAAAGACAGAGCGTGTGTTTGACAATTGTTTGGTGGGGGTTTTTTGCAGTACAGTTTAACATCCTTCCTTCCCTGCCCCCAAACCTGTACTTTACAGTGTAGGGAGCTTTGGGGGAAATATAAAAGACTTTTGTGAGTTCCCAAGCAGAGGGTTGTCCTCTTTGTAGGCATCCCTGAGGCAGACCAAAACCTCTAGTACACTGTTGGCACACAGGTACCAACTGTCTACAAGAACTGCCTGTGTCTATCTTTTCCAGACCAGAACAGAGACAGCATCAACATAATTTCAGTTTCTTTAATCTGATGATGACCCTTCAGCAGCTGATAAGTGTATCCTGTAGGCCCCAAAGAGCAGGCAGCCTTCAACCAGCTCCACTGCTGAGGAGCATCTTGCTGTTTGCCCCACAGCTGAAGTTTGCTCTTCATCCTTCCACTCTCCCCTCGCCAGCACGAACTTCTTTTGAGTGATTTTGCTTGGGCCACTTCATTGCACCTATCCCACCTGTCCTTTTTATGGAGTCATTAAAATCCTCTAATATGTGTTATTTAAACATATCTTTAGAGGTATAATTTTCATAAAAATATGTGTCTGTTTGTGCATGCCTAGCATGTAGTTACTACACTCCACAAGTATGTGCCCTTGACATGCTGACCTGTCTGACTGAGGTCTGCATGTACACTCAGGTGGCTGTGCGGGTCCACAGACTTGGCATGAGCGTCCAAATACAAATGGGCATTTGCAATCAGCCAAGGAAACATGCAGTATGCAAATGTCTGTGGATGTTCAAGGGTGTAATTCTTGGAGATGGCAGAGTGTCCATAGCTCCTTATGGATTTCACTGCTGTGCAAATTCCCTGAGACCAATTGGTCCAGATTCCAAAGCTCCCAACTTGCTGTGCCCCTGGAAAAGCCACCCAGACTGAGAGAGGCAGGGAGGGAGAGAGCAGGCTGATGTCAGTATGTGGGAGCATGGCACAGGCAACACTGGTTCCAGGAGTGAAAAATGGATGAGCCAAAGTACATTATTCTCCTAGGATTTTGAAAGTGGTTTTGATAATGTGTGTATACCCATCAGACAAATGACTCCTTGCATTCAAGTCGAGGAACAGCTGTCAGACAGTTAAAAAAAGTCTCAAATCTTTTTTATTTTTTTATTTGCACACAAATTTGAATGCCTGCAGATCAAGAGATGGAGTCAGGACAGAGTTTCTCTTTTGGGAGCACACAGCTCATGACAAGGTTTATTCATGATGTATTTCCACCATGCTTTGGGAATAACAGGCAAGGAGACCCTCCGGAAATATTAGCTGCTCTCCAGTGAGGCAACATGGTGAGGATGCAGAGGAAAATCCTCTGTTTTGGTCAGGTCCATCTTGGGGTGGAGAACAGGCAAGAGGGAATGTCTTGCTTGCCAGCTTCCCTGCAGGCTGACCACCTAAAACCAGAGAGGGCTGAAATCTATCAGCGAGCAGTGCATGCTCCCGGACACCAACTGCACACAGAGCAATAGATGATTGTCTGTGTTTCTCCACCAGAAAGGAGATGAGGCATGTGATGTCTCTTGCTAAACATTGATGTCACAGATATTCATTCCTTTTATGTGAAAAAAAATTGCTAAAATGAACTAATAAATTACCTTATAAATATTACAGCGTGAAAGATCTAGGCTAGAAATTACTTGGACTTCCATGAGTTTCACATGGCAAGGGTATGTGTGATTTAGGCTAGTGATTATTCAAGACACAAGGTGGGATTGGATATTTAGTATTTGAAAGGATTACACGTGCTATCAAGTGGGTGTTTAACCTCTCTTCAGTTCTAACTTCTGTTGCAACTAAATCATTGCACCCTTCATCCATGGCATAGTACAAACTGTGCAAATTTTCTTCCATCTCAGCACAGATCACCTGCTTTTCTCCAGTGCTGTTAAAGCCCTCAAAATTACGACTTTTCTGTTTTAAGTAGCCCACACTGATGTGTGTACACACAGAGGCAGGCAGGCTGGCATGTGTTTCATAACAGATTTTTGTGCCTGTGACTCAGAGCTGAACTATTAAACCATAACACATGGCTGACATCTGGAATTCTCTCAGACATTTTTTGTCATTTGAATATCAGTAACCATGGTTTGCTACTCTCCTTACCTCCAAAATGTAACTATCTTTATTCTCAGCTCATAAAAACAGAGCTAGAAGATTTTACTGAACCTGTTGGTGTCACTTGATCAATATATATAAAATATTTTGTCCAAGCCTGCTTTAAAGGCACATGTGTTCAGAGAGTTTGGCAGAAAGATCTTACTAAAGAAAGTCTCTACTTCCTCTTTACGTCTAAAATTGCATACCATTAGAATATTCAGAAAATTCATTAGGTTTGCTCAATGTTTGCTCATCTGTGCTTGCCTAGATTCACTACCTGTTAGCTAGCAAATTGGAGTAAGAATTTCAGATGGATGGTGTTGGTGTTTGGATATAATTAGTTACATGACTTCCTACAAATGAATGTCGCTCATTTGGCTGCTTTTAAGGAAAGATTAAAATGTGCTGGTATTTTCTGTAATGTGAAACTGTTTGTCTTACCTGTGTCTGAGAGGGTGTTATGTGCTATTTCCAGGACTGTTGGCTATGGACTAGCATGATCCCACAGAGATTAGGATTTTTCATTCTTTTTGAAAACATTGTGGGGTTGCTACTTAGAGTGATGTAACTAAGGGTGTGTTAAATTTCACATTAAAACCAAGGATTTAATGAAAACCACCAACTATCTGCCACTATAACGAGTCTCAAGCAAAAGGAGTGAACTGGGGAAGTTGTTCCTGGCTTTGATTCAGAAAATAATCTAAACTTAATTTTCAATCCAGCCCTATAAGCACATCTTTAACTTTGGGGACTGTCTGATTTTCCATTGACTTCGAGAAGGATATAAAACTTCTTCAGTGCTGCTTCAGGAAGAGAGGAGGGGTGCTGTTTGAAGACTATGCTCTCCCCTTTCTCCTTGAGAGTAAATATAGTATGTCTTGAAGGCACTTGCTTTACCTGATGAGGGGCTGCAAAAGAGGTGTGATTGCCACTATGCTAAAAAAGGTGATCATACAGGTTTCTGAGAGATAGGTGTATGAAGGTTTGTTGCTGAGGATTTCCAGTCTTTGGCTATCAGAGCAAAAAGAGGCAGTAGTGGTGCACCACCATGATGCCTTTGAATGCACACATGTTGTAGCAGTGAATTAATGTCATTTGATGTAGGTTTTTTAATGTTGTTCCCTGTAAGGCCTCTCAGATTCAGTAGGGAGCACGTCACCCTCAGCACTTGGTCTATGGCACAGATCTGACAGGTATAGCTGAGCCTGGTGATCACTTGTCTGTACCTGAGCTGCTGGCTTTCCATATATGTAGTTTTTGGAAATCTTTTTTAAACTGTTGTGCTTTAGACCTAGTCACATCTGTTCTATTCACAGTAGCTAGGTAAAATTCTCATGTCAGTGGTTCAGAAAATAGATTGTGCTCTGGGGTCTCTGACTGTTACTGCTGTTTAGTAATCACATCGTTCCAAGGGAGTCTGATTGTGACAGACTGTGATACTTAAACACACGATGGCTGTAAGAGCATTCTTCCCAGAGTCCTTCATCCTCACAGCCGCACTTGCCCACTGCCTGTGCAAGGTGGACCCACATGACTGTACTCAGCTGTCATGGTTAAACTGGAGTCCTTTGAACTCCTACAAACTGGCTTCTTCATGAAAAACCTCTGGTGCTAAATGTGGCCCTGAGCTGTTTGTATCCTTGCAACAAGGTTTTTCAGTGGATGCAGATATGTATGCACAGATCCACTGAAGGTAAATCATGCTGGACCAACTTGATTATCTTCCACAGTGAAAAAAACTACCTG